ATCAAATGTTATAAAAACCTAACCTCAAAGTTTGTATGGGACAATAAGCTTAGAGCAACCCCCGTTTCTACGACACTGTGTTCACTCAAACAATTATAATTATGTGTGAATATGTGTTTTGGTAGTAAGTAACTGTTTGCAAAATATCACCTTTCCAAGACTACCATAGTGGGGGTTATATTAAAAAAACTGATATGATAAGTAACACTTTATCACCCTGTATCTTGGAAACATAAGTAATTAGGAAAAATATTTATTTGGGTTTTCATCTTAATTTGACTTGCGGATAAAAGCAGATGTTTGTAGATTAAAACAGATGTTTGCGGATAAAAGCAGATGTTTGCGGATAGAATCAGATGTTTGCGGATTAAAACAGATGTTTGCGGATTAAAACAGATGTTTGCGGATTAAAGGAGGCGTTCGCGGATAAATGCAGATGTTTGCGGATAAAAGCAGAAGTTTGCGGATTAAACCAGATGTTCACAGATAAAAGCAGATCTTCGCGGATAAAAGCACATGTTTGCAGGTGAAATCGGATAAAGCAGACGTTTGCGGATTAAAGTAGATGTTTGCGGATAAAATCAGATAAAACTGGGTGAATGCAGATATAAACCCTAATACAGGTATTTGCGGATGAAACCAGATGAAAGCAGACATAGAACTAAATAGATAAAACCCGACGTTCGCGGATAATATTTATACCCGCAATTGCAGATATGTCGGATGAAAACATATAAATGGACTAGCTTGGTTTTTTATCCGCAATCATCCGATATTACACTGTTTTTCAGCAGGGTAATAGCAAAAGTTATACTAAGGTTACTTAGTTGTTTAAGCAATATTACTAAAAGTGGTAACTGTGATTTATAGGGCCTGCCACGACCTTAAATTAAACTTTATATTTCTTTATTTAATTGCTCTTAATCGAGCTCCATTCTTGTCCATAAGTGAAGAAATGGGAGTTATATTAAATTAAAATTTATAATTATAAATTTTAATTAAATATAAAATACCAACTTTTGAAACCAAAAAAGAATATAAATTAAAAATGTAAACAATATTTTTTTAAGGTCGTGAAAGTCATAGGTTGGTACAGTCCGTTCAGGCTAAGTTGAGCGCTTTGGTGGGGGATCATGTGGCCGTTAATTAAATTAAACATCGAATCGTCGCGAGATTTCGGTAACAAGAATATTATTTATCAGTGCCGCGGCTTGCCGTTTGTTCGTATAGAGCGGCTACCGAAATACATGTATTTAATTGTGCCTGAACATAGAGATGATGTACGGGGTGACATTCCTTAGACCGCTCAACTTAGCCTGAACGGACAGTAGGTGGGGCTGGGAGGTGTAGGAGCTCGATAAGCAGTCCTACACGCGGTGAGCTGAGGTTTTTTTATTTAAACAAAGTAAGCAAGGAACTGATTTGTAGTAAACGTGTAAATAGTGATATTTTGTGAATTTTATTAATTCTGGCGGACCCTGTAAACACTAAAATGTAATTAAAACTATAATTTTTCTATGTAGGGATATGTTTAAACTACAGGTTTTTTGCTATTAGAAAAAAAATTTAGTAAAATATATTTTAATATGCCTTAATTATATTAAATTAATAGACTTTTTTCAATAAAATTTGATTCTTTAAAGACTCGGTGGACCCTCAAGACAAATTGCAAAATAAAACAGAAGCAAGCAACTTTTTTTAATTATTGGAAATCTGAAACTCTAAAAAATGTATATATATATATATATATATATATATATATATATATATATATATATGGGTAAATTTCACTTAATGAGATAATTACATGTCTGGACGTGTAACTGTTTTTTTTTTACAATAAACTTAACTTCAGAAAACACAATATATGATAGATAAAACATTTTCTGATATACATTTTTTTAATTATTACCAAATTTAAATTTTTTTTATATAAAAAATAATAATAAGTAACAAAAACGTCATTTCGGTAACTGTCCCTTTTAAAATTTTCTAAATTTAAATCTAAGTTATATTAATCCCATGAAATATACGCACCTTTAAAATACCAATTATATGTCCAGAACGTCTATACATTTCAAATTGTAATTCACTATTTATTTCCGTTTTACCTGAAAAGGCCTATATACAAAAACTACTTGTCCTGTTCACTGATCATCATCTCGGTAACATATCATTCTTCGCAAGATATCTGTACTATCGGTCGGAAAATAAGACGCTGCTGTGTGTCAGATTAGTGCAAGTCAGTGTTTACGAAAGTATTGTGTAATAATTTTTTCGATGTTGTCTGATATTTTCTTTGAAATAATTAGTGAATATTAATTATCGATCGCGTACTCTTATTACAGATTATCCCGGTAACGCGGTAAGTGGATATTTTATTAAATAATAACCTGTATTTTCTTAGATGTTTTTTACTGCACTGTCACTCGACATAACCCCACAAAATTGTAGTTATCTATTGCAATCTTAGAGGGAGTTAACACCTATTTTTTTAAATTTTGTCATTTCGGTAACATCATTTCGGTAACAATCTATGGTGCAGGATTGGGCTTAGTCTATAATATTTTCAATCGACTAACGATTAAAACTCAGGGTACCCTGGTCCCACCAGGTCCGAGTCAGCCCCTTACCGACGCTTTTGTCCAGGGAAGTACCTCTGTCCTGGTCCACCAGGCCCTTTCTATGCGGATGCACACCGTCACCCAGGTCCACCAGGTCCTTTCAGGTCAGGTCCAGGTAGCCACCGACGTTCCCATCCAGATGCAAGCTTCTTCCGATGTGTCATAGGCTTTCCAAGTCCACCAGGTCCTTCCAGCCCAGGTCCAGGTCCCGTTCAGGTTATCACTGATGTTTTTCTCCAGGGAGTCTGGTCTACAAGGTCCCCCAGGTCTCTACGGATCACGTAACGACCTTTCACCACGGTAGAAGAATATCCGAGTGGTCTGGTCGGAGAACCTGATGTGAAAAACATCTGCGCGGGTTTGTTGGCTACATCGTTATATCTTATAAGAGGAAGGCTAGCGAGGCACTGGAACACCTGGGAAACCTGGTGGCCTTTGAATTAAAATCTTCGGCTATTATGTTCCACTACTGTATTTTTTTAAAAGAACATGTGTCTATTTTTTTACATTCCACAATTTAATAGTATTTTTACCAGATTAACTAAACATATCCTATCTGCAAGCTGAAATGTTGCTACCCTCCTTTTCTTTCTTTCATCGCCTTGCTTATTAATTTTATAACACAAAAATTAACTCAATTAAAAATATCACAATTTGACACCACTTGACATAACTTGACAACACAACATAACCTGCCGTTTTCTATTCTTCGTGAGATTTATTTGTTTTCGCTGTTGCCAACGCCAACGAATTAAACGCAGTTTTATTCTAGGAGCATAGGAGTTTTATAAAGTCAGTTCGTTTTGACTTTGTCGTTCGTAAACGCAAAACTAAGTTGGTGAATTCGGGCCTCAGAATAACGTTATGAAAACTCAAAAACCAGTTAGGTCAAAAGATAAATTAAGGAAAGATAAAGAAAGGGACAGTAAAGCGGCTACAAGAAAAAGTGAAACAAAGATACATGGTTTCAAAATAAAATCAAGAAACAGCTCTTATTCGGTGAAGTTTTGAAAGATCAGTTATCAGAGAATTCAAAATTGATTAAAGAACAGAAAGCTAGAGATATTTTCTCAAAAGTGGTGATTGGGAAAATAATAAAACGTCAATCAAAAAATATTATTTCGTACAAAATGCATCAAAAACAAATATTAAGTTTTATTAGGTTTTGGTAATCCATTTTTAGCAAGGTTTATGGAATGTTTAATTTTTAAAAATAATGTATTTTTCCTTGCTTGTTTATATTCTTTATTTGCAAATAAAGAATATAAACAAGCAAGGAAGTATACATTATTTTTAAAAATTAAACACGGAAATATTAAGCTTTTACAATATGAGCGAAAAAAACGCAATGAAAGGATTAGTCAGAAAGTAAGAAGTTTTGTGCAAGAGTTTTTGGAAAAAGATGAAAATAGCAGGATGTGTCCAGGAAAAAAAGACTTCGTTATTAAATGAAATATTAAAAAGCAGAAAAGAATAATGCTAGATTCTATTAAAAACCTTCACAAAAAGTTTTTACTATCTAATTCTATCTATAAGGTTTCCCTCACAACTTTTTGGAGATATAGACCATTTTGGGTGGTTCTGCCAAAACTTAAAGATAGGGAAACATGTTCGTATATTAGGCATGCAAACATAGAGCTTATCACAAAGAAATTGTACCACGCCAAATTATTATCAAACCAAATGACATTTAAAAAAAATTGGTTTGTAGTGACAAAAATCTAAATTGTATGCTTAGATGTTGTCTAAAATGCAAATACAATGCTTATGATTTTTCTAAAGAAGATGATGTTTTTTAAAAAAAAATTACTTTTGCAAAATGGGAGTCAATTACTGAGAACAAACTTTTTAAAGGGGAGACAAATATGATAAGAAGGATAGTGAAAACCGAAAAGTCAATGACCGTTGGGGAGCTAAAAATTTATTTAAACGTTCAGTTGTCAAAATATATAAAACACGTACATTTTATAAAGCATCAGCAAACTGAAATGCAGAGTAAAAAAAATAATATGAAATCAGACGAAATTTTGATCCAAATAGATTTTTCCGAAAACTACATTGCAAAATATGAAAGTGAAATGCAATCTATGCACTTTGGAGCTTCAAAGAGGCAAATATCGCTACATACCGGTATTTTTTATTATCGACAACAGCCAGGTTCTCCTGTCCAAAGTAGATGTTTCTGCTCTGTTAGCGATAACATAGACCATTAATCATATGCCGTGTGGGCCCATTTGAACAATATTTTGTTGGAACTGGCAGCTACATTTCCAGATGTTACAAGAGTTCACTTTTTTTTCTGATGGCCCAACATCGCAATACAGGAATCGCAACAATTGTTATTTTGCTATCAAAAAAACATCTAAGACCTTCAAGATGCTAGAAACAGTTACATGGAATTTCAGTGTGAGTGGTCATGGAAAGGGACCCATGGACGGCGTTGGAGGAACTCTAAAACGCAAAGCTGATCGGTTGGTTTTTCAAGGTAGAGACATAACTTCTGCTAAGGAATTTGTTGAAGCTGTAAATAAATCTTCAATAAAAGTTTGGGAAGTCCCTGGGGAGAAGATTTTGAAAATAAAAGAGTTAGAGTTACCAAAAAATATCCCTTCTGTGCCAAATATCATGTCCCTGCATCAAGTTACTTGGTCCAAAATGCAAGAAACGAAGTTGTTTCTAAGAACTCTTAGCTGTTTTGTCTGCGACAAGTGTACACTATGCTCTAAAATCTTCAGAAGTTACTATTCTGCCTAAAACTGGTTTCCTTTTTTAAATGTTTATGCTAGGCAATAGCCAAATTCTTTATTTGTCATCCTTAACTCTTCATTGAAGAAATTAAAAAAACATACAAAAACAAGAACTTTACTAGAGTCGTTCCAAACCAGCCTTTGATCGATTTAGTTGAAACAAAACCATTTTGATGTTTTTTTATTGTAAAATATGTGTAAAATAAAACTTTTTTTGTAATAAACTACGCTTAAATAAAAAGCATTAATTAAAACTAGTGTAATTTAATCATTTCGGTAACGTATCGTCATTTCGGTAACTTTTGCAAATACCGCTGAAAGTTAACTTTTAGATATTTGTTTAAAGAAATTTTTTTGTAAAGGAGTATACTATAATCATATATTTGCAAATCAACCATCATTTAATAAGAAAATATCCATATTTTATAAAAAGTTTTGAATTGAAAACCAAATCTTGAAGTATTTAATAATTGTGTTGGTATTTTCGTAGGCCTAGTTCCAATAAGATCGCAATTAAAGATATTAACAGATATGCTGTAACATATTCTAGCTAAAAAAATGTTTTTGTATAAAACATTATTAAATTACGCATCACTTTTACCGAAATAACGAATTTATGTTTTAATCATGATTCATGATAACTCTTAAACTAAAGATTATTTTTCATGGCCAGGGTCAAAATCGCATATAGTAATGATGAAGCATAGATAATTTTTACAAAAATGTCACCTAAAGCAACAATTTGTTTTTAAACTTTATTAATCTTAAATTAGCTTATTACATGAAATATTGCCATATATATATATATATATATATATATATATTTACATCTTCAATTATTACGGCCTCATACAATAGACAAGTTTATCGGCCTCACCCAGATGGAGCGTAACCAGCGAATGTCTGTGTCATGTATATTAAATTTCAAAGTATTCTAAACAGATCCCGCGCACTTAGAAATCCGTATCTTTAATTTTATGGTATACATTTTTAACCATCTTTCATACATAAAAACCTCTTACTAAATAACTAACATTGTGGCTTCAATTTGTGTATATATTTTTTAAATAGCGACATTATAAACTCATGTATATACAATGCAGCCTCATACATGGTTGCCAAATCTTATTAGATGGTTAAATGCATTCAAATTAATGAATTGAATTTCCTGCTTTCATCTAACGGCCGGCCGTTAGATTTCGCCCGCTTGAAATGGCCGCGGCCATTTCAAGCGGGCGAAACGCACGAATTTCAAAACTGTTTTTATGAAACAAATTGTAGATAATTTATTTCATAATATTTTGGCATCAAAATTATCAAAAATATTTTTCTTTTATTAGGCTATACATTAAATAAAAAACGCAAGAAATATTTTATAAAGATAATTTTAATAATTAAGAGTTGTGGACGGGACAAAAAAAAAAGATTTATCTTAAGATACAATTGTCCCGTCCACACCTGTCAATTATTTAAATTATCTTTTTACTTTCATAAAATATTCCTTGCGTTTTTTTTATTTAATGTATAGCCTAATAAAACAAACATATTTTTGACAATAAAAACAGTTTTGTGATTTGTCCCGTCCGTATGCTTGAAATGGCGGCTAACCTCCCGGACAACATTCGTGATATTCATACGAACATCAGTCGTGATTTTCACAAATTTTATTCATACTGATATCATACGGAAGTCGCAGCGTGATAAATGAAAATCATACGAACGTCACGTCGTGATTTTCACAAATTTTATTCATACGGACATCATACGGATGTCACTGCGAGAGAAATGAAAATCATGTCGTGATTTTTTACGCCATCGCTGTTTGCGATTGACCAATGGCCTAAAAAATCATGTCGTGATTTTTTATGCCAACGGTGTTTGGATAATCATTTTTGCGCCACGTTCGTACTCTAAGAGAAAAATTATGTTGAATCAACAGTTTTTGCGGTTAAATGCATTTAATATTTTCTTGGATTTAAATGAACTATATAAAAAGTAACAAAACCAAACGATAATTGCAAAATTAAAAAAAAAATAAAAAATAATTTTTTACACAAATGCTGAAATGTTCGAAATGCGTAACGCTTTACGGTTTGAAGAATTTAGCAAAGACAACTTTTGAATCATTTTTTATTTTGCAATTATGGTTTGGTTTTGTTACTTGTTCTAACGTTAAAATAAATTTTGTTTAATTAGTAAAAAAAATTTTTTTTTTTTTAAATTGACCATGTTTTTAAACATAAAAGTTGATTTTTCTCGAAAACGGTCAACTTTAGAGCTTATGACCAGTACCTTTTTTGTGTAGAAAACATTGGCGGTTCGAATAGGCCTCTCAAAACCGTACATTTTTCAGGGGCCTAGAAGTTGAGGAGAAAAACACCCGCTACCCCTTCAAAATCTCCACCAATTATGAGGAAAAAAAAATTTTTTCTGGCACAAAACATAGCTTATTTTGAGTAGAAAATGCTTACAAAAGCTGTTTTTTGTACGATAAAGGGTTCCGGAGATATTCGAAAAAAACGAATTTTTTTCTAAAATTTCAACACCCTGTATCTCGAAAATTGTGCATTTTAGAGCGTAAGTTAATAGCGACTTTTTTCATCTTTTTGGATGAGTTATCACATCCTGAAGTCCTGCGCATATATTATGAAACACCCTGTATATGTGGGTATACTTTTTTTCTCAATGTACGAATGTGGCGCAAAAATAAATATCCAAACACCGATGGCATAAAAAATCACGACATGATTTTTTATGCTGTCGGTGTTTGTGCATAAAAAGTCACGACATGATTTTTTATGCCATTGGTGCACCGACATGTTCGGATATTTATTTTTGCGCCACATTCGTACATTGAAAGAAAAAAGTATGTTAACAATTGAATTAACAGTTTTTGCGGTTAAATACATTTAATATTTTCTTGGATGTAAATTTACCCGGACAACATTCGTGATATTCATACGAACATCATGTCGTGATTTTCACAAATTTTATTCATACTGATATCATACGGAAGTCACCGCGTGAGAAATGAAAATCGTGTCGTGATTTTTTATGCCATCGCTGTTTACGATTGACCGATGGCACAAAAAATCATGTCGTGATTTTTTATGCCAACGGTGTTTGGATAATCATTTTTGCGCCATGTTCGTACACTAAGAGAAAAATTATGTTGAATCAACAGTTTTTGTGGTTAAATACATTCAATATTGAATGTTAAACTGTTGATTCAATTTTTAACATACTTTTTCTTTCAATGTACGAATGTTTTGCAAAAATGAATATCCAAACACCGATGGCATAAAAAATCATGTCGTGATTTTTTATGACCAAACACCGATGGCATAAAAAATCATGTCGTGATTTTTTATGCCATCGGTGTTTGGATATTTATTTTTGCGCCACATTCGTACGTTGAGAGAAAAGGTATACCTACATATATATTAAATCAACAGTTTTTGTGGTTAAATACATTTAATATTTTCTTGGATTTAAATTAACTATATATAGTTAATTTAAATCCAAGAAAATATTAAATGTATTTAACCGCAAAAACTGTTGATTCAACATAATTTTTCTCTTAGTGTACGAACGTGGCGCAAAAATGATTATCCAAACACCGTTGGCATTAAAAATCACGACATGATTTTTTAGGCCATCGGTCAATCGCAAACAGCGATGGCATAAAAAATCACGACATGATTTTCATTTCTCACGCATTGACATCCGTATGATGTCCGTATGAATAAAACCCGGACAACAATCGGGATTTCCTGGTGAAGTCATGATGATATCACAACGTGATTTTTTTATCACGCTGTGATATCCTGAGTGCATACACATGCTTCATCACAGTGATATCATGTAGAACTCACGGTGTGATATTTGCAAAGTTTGCGCATGCGTATGAGCCCTGCGAACTGCGAATTTAAAACCTAGTTTAACACATGATTTTTTATGCTATCGGTGTTTCGGCATAAAAAATCATGACATGATTTTTTATGCCATCGGTGCACCGACATGTTTGGATATTTATTTTTGCGCCACATTCGTACATTGTGAGACAATGTATGTTAACAATTGAATTAACATTTTTTGCGGTTAAATACATTGAATATTTTCTTGGATGTAAATTAACTATTAATTTAAATCCAAAAAAATATTGAATGTATTTAACCACAAAAACTGTTGACTCAATATGCCTATATGTACATAGGTATACTTTTTCTCTCAATGTACAAATGTGGCTCAAACATAAATATCCAAACACCGATGGCATAAAAAATGACGACATGATTTTTTATGCCATCAGTGTTTGGATATTCATTTTTGCGACACATTCGTACATTGAAAGAAAAAGTATGTTAACACTTGAAACAACAGTTTAACATTCAATATTTTCTTGGATTTAAATTAACTATATATAGTTAATTTAAATCCAAGAAAATATTAAATGTATTTAACCGCAAAAACTGTTGATTCAACATAATTTTTCTCTTAGTGTACGAACTTCGCGCAAATATGATTATCCAAACACCGTTGGCATAAAAAATCACGACATGATTTTTTGTGCCATCGGCAAATCGCAAACAGCAATGGCTTAAAAAATCACAACATGATTTTCATTTCTCACGCAGTGACATTCGGATGATGTCCGTATGAACAAAATTTGTGAAAATCACGACGTGACGTTCGTATGATTTTCATTTATTACGCGGTGACTTTCGTATGATATCAGTATAAATAAAATTCGTGAAAATAATGACGTGATGTTCGTATGAATATCGCGAATGTTCTCCGGGTAGGTTTTAAATTCGCAGTTCGCAGGTCTAATACGCATGCGCAAATTTTGCAAATATGATAGCGTGAGTTCTACATGATATCACTGTGATGATGCATGTGTATGCACTCAGGATATCACAGCGTGATAAAAAAAAATCAGGTTGTGATAACATCATGACTTCACCAGGAAATCCCGATTGTTGTCCGGGCTGTAAACCTGTTTTT